GCTTGGGCAGCAAAACCTGGATGCTCTACCCAACTTGCATAGAACCAGGACTGGGTAATTCAAAATGCTCCTATAACCCTATAGAGACTAGTTTGGGGCCAGCCCACCCTTGATCATCCTTATGTTCAATGTGTCCTTCAACGTTCAAAACCCATTATAATAAATAAATTATTAATTAAATAAATGATTTGTTATGTTTTTGCCTTAAATTTTATACTGCAGCTTGTTCCAAGTTCTGATCTGCATCCATGGAGAGGAAAATGAAGGCAAAATTTTTTTGAGAGTACAGGGGCAAAGCCTCAGGCAGTACAAACTTGACTCATATTCAACTTATAGATCTGATTTTTTTATGTTAAGTTCTCAAGGGACCTTTTCCCACTCTTGTAGGCTGTGTTTGGTTTGAAAGAAAAGATAGGAAAAGGAAGGGAAATGCAGGGAGAGCTATACAAACCTTCTATAGGTTTCCCTGCCTTTCCTTTATTTTCCTTACCTTTTTCTTCAAACCAAACGTATTCCTAAATACTCTTTATCTTGTACCCCAAGTTAAATTTACTTGAACAATATTCCTAAATATTGCTATTGAAACGTGCATTTTTTCTTCTAGATTTAGCACTCGAAATCTGTGTGACTTGGATTCACTTGACAAACTCACTTTTTTGTTAATGCCATTCTACATTCTTGACATTGTGGTTCTGTTTTGTGTATTATAGGACTCGCACTATTTGCTATTTCACCTATTTGGTTATTTATGATTCTTCTCCTATTTCGGAATCACTCAGCAATTGGGACTCACTACTAAATGAACCAAACCGCCGATGAAAGACCTTACCAATTGTTTGGCACTTTCAACTGGATGAGTTGCGGCCTAATAATAAGTTTAGAGTTAATTCGAGTTCAGCCCACCTCAGAATTAATAATAGATCGTACAACTCGGATCAGTGTTAAGGGAGGAGGGAGAGGAGATTCCCAATTCACAGGGAAATGTTATTTATAAGGGATGGTGATAAATATATTTTATGAATTCTGAAATAGAGTGAATTAAACTATAAAAAGGCCATAAATTTATTTACATGGTTATTTTGAATTCAGGTGGGTCGAGGGCTGCCCATCACATGGGCTGAGATTGTGCCCAAAACAACCCAAGCCTGAAAGATTTGTTGTTATCTCAATATTTACAGCACAAGCTAAAGAAAATGTAAGCCTTTCTCTTAACGCAGATCATTAATGCGAGCGATAAACATTAACATACAAATTAAAACAACCAAATCAGTATTGTATAGTGAGGACACAAGGTGTTAAAAACTTGATAGAAATATGTATTACTTTGCGATAAAAGTAAAAGTAGGGCAATAAATACTAATAGTGGAGGGTTTTATCTTCTTGATAAAAAAAAAAAAAGGAACTCTTTAGCATCTTAATTAATCATGGGCCATATATATAGCATCTTAATTAATCTGATTTAAAAAATATTTGAATGATTTTAAATGTAACATCAATATTGTCTTTCCCTGATGAAAATTCAAGTGAAAGCAAATGAGAACCTCAGAGAGGCATCTTGAGCATCTCCTTAATATCTCGTTATTCAATGACACTTTGTTTTTTATTTCTTTCCTTGTTCTTCTTTCTTTCTTTCATTTTCATAGGAAGGCGGTGGTTCATGAAACCCCACGTCATTTGATGCTCATGAATCGCACCTTTGGCTTCAGGAGATGCCCTGAAACGGTGGGTGGGTATCCCAAATATTCAAGTTAGCTTCTCTCCAACAGTACTCTATATAGTGGATGGTTTTGGAACTTTGGGTTACAACTATTAGTTATATTTCACTTCACTTGCTAGTTTTAAGAATTAAGAGGGAAGATACTCCATCCACGATGGGGACAGGCCCTCAGGATACCCCCATTTATATTACCACGATACAAATTGCATGCTTCACCTTTCTTTCTTTCATAAAATGAGGAATTAAGAGTGGATCAAGCAATGGTAGCCATGCATGTAATAAATATAATTTACATTTCTTAAACTTCAGTGGCTGGCATTGAGAGGGAGAAGAATGAAGAATCCACAAGATGGATTCCAGTATTGGATGTGAAGGATCAAATGAAATAAAAAATAAAAAAATATGAATTTACATTAGTTAATAAATTATGACTTTGGCCAATTTTTTTTTTATTATTTTTATTGGCAATAAATGACATTGCCAAGTAAAAACTAAAAAATCAATTTTATTGGTAATAGAAATGACATATTTTATGGGCAAAATTCCATACTATTTATTGCCATGTGAATCGTGTGGGAAAATTCCATTTTATTTCTATATATAATGTGGCATGTAGTGAGAAGATGGATTATATCGAATAAATAACTAAAAAGTAGAAATGATTCAATTATGTGTCTACATGAGCTTCCAATGTTTGAAATGTGTCTTGGAACAAATTGAAACTCAACCAAAAAAAGAAAAAGAAGAATCTTTAGAGGCCAAGCAGAAGAAATTGATGTATTTCCTTAGAATTTTATTAATATTTAATTTTCATTTTTTTGGTAAAACGATATGTTCATTGTTAGGATTTTAAAAAGGGAAACGATGCCCACCCCGCCCCACAAAAAATTAAAAAGAAAAAGAAAAGGAAAATACCTGGATTGAAATCACACTATCTTCACTGGTTGAGAATACGGGTGTCAATGGACTGTTTTTGGGTTGGACCCGTACAAATCAAAATTAATTTGGATAAATTGGACAGACCAATAAGATATATTGAATTAGACCAATCTAAACTTAATGCTCCAAAGTTTTTATTGGATTGGACCTAGTCCATCTGTAATGGATTTATATTGGATTGGGTTGGATTTTCGAGTGAACCAAATCTGGTCTATTGATAGAAGATAAGAATACATGTGTTCATGGATCATATTTAGGTTGGAATTAGGGGTGAATTCGGGCCGAGCCGAGCCGAGCTGAGCCGAATACTTGGCTATTTGAGCTTGGCTTGCTGAAACTGTGTTACGTTCAAGTTTGGCTCAATTCAAAGCTTGCGAGTTCGAGCTTGTCTCGGCTCAAGTTTGACTGCAAGCCAAGTTTTTTTTTTCTAAAAAATAAAAAAATATAAATATAAATATATATTTTTTATTTTACATACAAAAATTTAAGATTTATAATTTTTTATTATTATGAATATAAAAAATAAATATATACATACAAAAATGTTTTTATTTTACATAAAAAATAAGAATTATAAAAATTATTTACTATTATACATAAAAAACAATAATATTATATATAAAATAATATTATATGTAATATTAATTATTTATTATACTAGGCTCGTGAGGCTCACGAGCCGAGTTTCACTGGGCTCAAGCTCGGCTCGATTAGTAAAAAAGCCTATATATTAAGCTCAAAGCTCGATTTAAACTGAGACGAGCTGAGCTCAAATAGATTGTGAGAAGCTCAAATCGTGGCCACCCCTAATTGGAATAAATTTAAATTAAAACCAATTTAAACAGATTGGACAGTCTAAACATTGAATTGGACTGGTCCACAATGATCTAGAATATTTATCACATTGGATTGGACCTGATCCATCTATAATGAACTCATATTTAACCAGATCGGATTGGACCAAAACAGATCCAAATGATACCCCTAGCCGAGGGGCTTTGGCTTTTAGATGAAATGAACCCGCCAATAAAACTTCACTTCACCAAATAATCCTGCCCAGGCCAGTATCCCTTGAATTCTCATTTGCCGTATACAAACTTTCCATTGACTTTTATGTCAAAAATATGCGATTTGATTGTCAGTTTTTCCTTTATTTTTTATTGGAAGGTGCCAAACATGTCCTCACAAATGGGCGCCTCACTGTGCACTGGAAACAGTAAAAAAAACGACTCCACTGGGGATCGAACCCAGAATCTTTGGTTCCGTAGACCAGCGCCTTATCCATTGGGCCATGGAGTCCGTACTTGTGATTTTCTTTTGCAACATTCTATATTCGTTAAATAGAAAGAAGGTGCCTTCAACAGTACGGGAGATTTGATTCTCCAGGAACTTCTGCTGCTCGAATTATTCCCTTCATCCACCCCCCCTGGCATGGACCACCACAATTTTTTCCTGCCTCATTGCCCAGTTCAAAACTACCATATTCTTATGCTTTGAAGATTAGTGGTACTTGTTAGCTACAAGCTTCAATCAATGCACGATTGGATTGGGAGCCGTGCATGATGATTATTTCAGTGCAAAACTGCAAATGGGTTGGAGAAGTTTTGAACCTATAAAACATAAACAAGTCATATAAAAAATTGGTCAATTCAGATCAGTCTAAAGCCAATAACCTAACCAGTTAATCATGCTTAGTCAGAGGCATCAAGAAAGGCTAAGTAATCATCTATATTTGGACCATGTTGGAATTACCAGTCACAGTGAGAATGGCTTCCTTGGTGGGTCGGGCCAAGATTCTGACTCCTAGTTATAAGCCACCATAAGCCCATTAAGAAGCATATAGATAATTGACCCAGAATGGTGCAATATTCCCTTGGAATCTTAGTAAGTTCTAGTAAATGGCTAACAATAGCATATCAGATATAAAGATTCCAAAAATTCCTAACTAAAGAAAGATTCCACGACGTATGAGCACTGGAGTATAGAATAATATATGGTGGAAATAAACAAACAAGGAAAATGGAAAGAACGTTTTCATTTGTTACCTCCTTGATTGCATTTGTTTCTCATATATATGGACAATATTGTTAGCTTCTCTGATTAATGTTAATTTGTAGAGGATAATCTTGACAAGGCAGCGGCCCCACTTGAGTAATTTATGCGGCTGACTCAACTAAAAGCTGAATTTGTCATCTTTTGCCTCCTAGTTGTCCCCGCCCCCCTCCCCCCTTGATGCCATATCCCATGCTTTTCAATTAAACCATTTTGTATACCTTTTTCTGAGAACTCTAGCTATATATACAGCAATGGCTGCTCATCAGGTTCATTCAAATGCTTACGAGTTACGACCTTCTATTGAGGACAATAGCGCCAATGGAGGGGTGTCAAGTTTTTGGCTTATGCTCCCACGGTTTGCCCACAAACCCAGGGATGTCATGGATTAATGCAGACTTCGGTTCTCGTGGGTTAGCCAAGCAGGGTCAGTTGAAGTCTTCACTGTTGCTATTTTCTTCTTGATTTATGTCTCTAGTCTCTACCCACGTCTTTGAATTTGGAATTGTATCTTTGAAATCTTGCTTCTGTGAGTACTGGGCATTATTTATGACATATTGAAAAGTTGAGCAGCAGGATTCTGTCTTGTTTGCTTTCTTTCTTTCTGATTTATGAATTCTACTACTTTCATGCTTGCTTTGTAACATATTTATGTAAGATAAAGATTTCCATGGGCTACTATATTTTTTATGGCAAGGCTAAGGCAGTCCCATGCATGTGGGCCTGGCACATGGTTGTTATTCACCAAGCCTGACCCATGAGTACCCACTACCCAGCCCATCTCTGATCTGGGCTGGCACATGGTTGTTATCAGATAGAGTTTCAGTTTGTTAATATGATCGATCTACTTAAACAACTAATAAACAAAAAAAAAAGCTTAACTCAAATAGATTAATGTTCTTTCATTCCCAATCTTTGTTCGTTCGTTTCGGAGGCTTCTTATTTCTGTAGTTTTTATCGAGCAAGAAGCCAAGCACCCTCTCCTGACTCCTGAGAGAAATGTTACTGTCCAGGTTTCTCATGCAAGCCACTTCATTCAGCAATCTCAAATGTGAAATTCATCGATTCCTTCAGCCTTGACAGGAAGCCGCTTTTACTTTGTGGTGGCAGTGCATCCAAGAAAAAAGCAGTTCAAGTTATATCTCCCAATGTTTCATCACTAAGCATGACAATAGACTTGCTAGATGCCTACGACGATGAATACAACGGGGTTGTTATTGACCCAGAATGCTTACCCACCAGTGCTAATGCATTTGCATCCATCCTCCGCACTTCCCTCTCCATCTGGAAGCTAAAGGTCTGATATCTCATCATTTCTGCTGGGTGCTTAGTGACAATTTCTAATTTTTCATTCGATGATTAGGATGGATAATAAGTGCAATTATGTATTCTTCTTAATTTGTCTGGTCTTCAGTAGATTATCATTTTCTAAATTCATAAGCCACTGAATTTCTAGATACTTAGTCATCTTTCTTTCCTTTAATGATAATTAACCATTGATTTACTACCACCCCAAATCAACTTGTTTACCTTTAATCAATTCTTATTCGGTGCGCATTGCAGAGAAAGAAGGGGATATGGCTCAAGATATTAGAAGCACAATCTGATCTTGTCCCAATTGCAATTAAGGTACTATCTTGTTTTGCTTTCAAGAACGAAACTAGTTTAAGTGTCATCTAATATCTAATGTTTTGAAAACCGGACCAGACTTGGGCAGTTTGGAACTGAGCCCTTTCAGCTGGTTCAATCAAAACTGGGAAACCAGAATCTGTCATAAAAATGGGGAACTTAACCTGGGCATTCTCCGGCTTATGCCTGGTTCAGTTTTCAAAACCTTGCTACCAGAGACCAGTCCAAGTTCTGCTCATGTGCCTAAACAGACATAAGCTCATGAACCATCTGAGAACAGTAGACCTGGCAAAAAGTTGACCCAACCCGAAAAAACAGGGTTAGGATCTCATATTTAGCTACATGAATTTGAGAATGACCCGACCCAACCCGACCCAACCCAGAAAAGAAAAACTGGGTTGATAGACAAATTTCAACCCAAAGACCACTGGTAAACGGTAGCCATCTGAATAGGCAATTTCCTGAATTTTAAGCACTGCATTCTATTTTGAACTATTCTTCTTAAGTTTCAGCTCCATCTGTTTTCAGGAAGGCTTCAGTTGCCACCATGCAGAGCCTGGCTATGTCATGTTAACATATTGGATTCCTGATGAACCCTGCATGCTACCTGCTAGTCCTTCACATCTAATTGGTGTAGGAGGATTTGTAATCAACGACAAAAGAGAGGTTGGCTTGCCACCTTTGCAATACCAGCATTTTGTTTCTGAATTTACTTCTCTATATGTTTCCTATGAGATAATCAATTAGCTTACTTACCCAAAAGTGGCGACTTATCTTCCCTTTGTTATTTAGGTCCTTGTAGTGAAAGAGAAGCAATGCCCTTGTAGATGCTCTGGTGTGTGGAAGTTGCCTACAGGCTTTGTAAATAAGGTAATTGCCTTGAAATCTGGAATGTCACCATAACATCTGCAAACAACTCTTTGCTTCAGGAACTGGGAAAGAAAATTATACCCATCATTCATGATTAAGTTATATTACATTTTCCTTGTAATCTAGTTAAAAACATTTGCATTTCTTTGATTTATTTCATGTATAAATGTATATTTCAATCATGAAAATAACTGTGTGGTCTTTCTCAGTCAGAGGAAATTTTCTATGGAGCAGTAAGGGAAGTTAAAGAAGAAACCGGGGTAAGCAGAAATTCTTCTCCTTCATTTCTTTCCATCTGGGTAACATGGGATGACTTAACCTTGATCCTCCACAACCCTTCAGATATGCTATGTCAACTTATGTTAATTTAATTTACAATAGTTCTCCTGCAATTTTTTTTTTCTCCCATAAGGTTACTTAAGCTGTAGTTTCCTTCTTCCTTTTGCAGATAGACACTGCTTTCTTGGAAATGACTGCTTTCAGGTGAGAATAATCCATGTTTCTTTAAGCACCACATTCTCTTTTGTCCATAACCGGTTCATAATTCTTTATGCTTATCCAATTATACCGGTTGATGAATGTTGCTCTGTCAAAATAGTTGCTTATCTTTTTATTCATCTCCGTCTTCTCTTCTTAATGAAAGAGAAATAAATATTTTTATTGATTCTTCAACACTATCATATTATTTAGAGAAAAAAATGTTTACCATAGCTTTGGTCTTCTACACATATATATTAGTTGCATTCCCCAAAGAGTATATCCATCTTAAAACAATATCCCCTTAAGGCCTTAGAGGCTTAAACAGCTTTTTATATTGTTAAGAATTGAACTATTGCAAGGAAATAAGCATAAATCTCTATTTTTATTATTATGTCAATCAAATCAATAGGGGACCATTGCTTAGTACAAATGTACAATAGTAAAATTAAGCAAGACTAAAAGCAAGTCATTTTCTGCAAAAAATGTCAAAGGTTAAGTCCATATCCAGTGCACCCCTCTCAAACGTCAAGACCCATGTAAGTAGGGCTGTCAATGGGTCGGATATTGGTCCAACATGGACCGGTCCAATATCAGTCCATTACAGATGGACCAGGTCCAATCCAATCCAGTGAATACTTTGGATCATTCCGGACTGGTCCAATTCAATGTTTGGGCCATCTAATCTGTTCAAATTGATTTTGATTTAGATTGGGTCCAACCCAACCCTGGTCCATTGACACCTGTACTCTTACAGATATTGGCTCAATCTGATCCAGTCCAGTATAAATCCATTACAGATGGACCAGGTCCAATTCAATCCAATAAATACTTTAAGTCTGGACTGGTCCAATCAGCATCTCTTATTGGTCTGTCCAACCCGTTCAAATTGATTTTGATTTGGACAGTTCCGACACAAACCCGGTTCAGTGACTCCTTATATGTAAGTGGGGCCATTATTGGCTTCACTTTGGATCTGCTACAAACAAGGTGTGTATAACAAGCTCTGTAACCCAATCAGGAGTGAACATGCTGGTGCCTCGTATTCACTCCTGATTAGGTTAAGTAGCCCATTGTACAGATCTTGCTTGTAGCTGTAGCAGATCCTACCCCCATTGGCTAGTGCCTAGTGGTTCTTTATTAATACGATCGAGTAACGCTATGTAACAATGAGCCTGAATCTATTGAAGGGGAAAATTTTCTAAGCTATAGTTCTCAATCTCACTGCTAATTGCCAGGCATGCTCACCTTGTGGCTTTTGAGAAATCAGATTTACTCTTCATGTGCATGCTTAAGCCTTTGTCGTTCAACATCAAAATTGACGAGAAGGAGATTGAAGCTGCTAAGGTACAGTAGCATTAAATGGAATGAATAGACTAATTGTTGATCTTCTTTATTGGAAACTTTTTTCCTGTTAATTTCTCACAGTGTGTGATGATTTGCTTCTTCAGTGGATGCCTCTGGATGAATTTGTTGGGCAGTCATACTATCAAGAAGATCATATGTCAAAGAAGGTGATTGATATCTGTGTGGCAACATATGAAAATCGTTACAGTGGATTTACTGCTCACCAGGTGGTCTCTAAATTAGATGGAAAGTTATCTTACCTCTACTACAATGAATTTGAAGAGAAATTGATAATATAGATTCAAGGCATTGTTTACATGGCTTATGGTGAACTGTAAATCTGTGCCACAGTCACAGCAAATCTAGAATTGAACCATATGGTGATTCATGCAACAGTTTAGGGTGAACCCAACTGCTAATAATGTTGAATAAGCTCACAACTTAATGTTAGTTTCTTCAGTATATTTAACTTATGCAAAATGGTTCCTTCTTGGTTTTCTAAAGTTACTCTAATGAAATTTAATCAACTTGTAATATAACTTTATATATAGCTCAGACAGGAGGGCTTCTCCTTCAAACATGTTTCCAGGCCTACAGTTTCGCAGAAAAAAGGGGGCTAAATGAATTATTGATAGGATCCTCCATCATAAAGTGTTTTGTACTATTGGAGGGTCGCAAGGTTAGTTGCAGTTATGACTCCAATTTGGCGGGGCTGTTTCCACATCTCTACCTACCCGCATTGAGAATATCTCCCTTGTTATTCACAGGAAGATGTTCTCAATGTAGTGCTATATGAGTAAGGATGTGGGTAGCACCAGGTTTTGATTGAGCATTTGCCAAACTTCCAATGGGTCCATCGCAAAGGCCCAGGCCCGATGCTGTGTAAATTCTTTTAGGCTATGTTTGGTTTGAAGGAAAATGTAGGAAAATCTTTACAAACCTTGTATTGGTTTTCCTGTCTTTCCCTTTCTTTCCCTACCTTTTCCTTTTAAACCAAAAATAGCCTTAAGTTTTAGGTACCCAACTTATTCCTAGTAAGTGAATGTGCTTTCATTTCCAACTCAAATAGAAAAAAAAACCAGCAAAAGGGGTTATCTAGATGTTGAAAGGTTCCATTTATTTAAAATAAATCTGTTGTGAATTTGGCATCAATCCACGGATAGGATTCAGTCCACCCCTAAAAAATCATAGCTTCACCTAGGGGTAGACTGAATCATAAAAACCCCTAATTAAAAATCAACCTAATTAGTCTCCTGAATCAAACAAAAAACCCAACCGAAGCGCTTCGACCTAATATCTTGTACTCATGAAAGATTTGATGCATTAACTTGCCTACGAGCTGGAAAAAAAAAACTGGCGAAATAGATAATGTAGGCCATTTGTCGTTTTTGAGGTCATGGGCCAGGCCTGTCCTGTCACCTGGTAAAAGGGGTTTCCTTTTAATAGGGGTGCAATTTTTTCGGGGTAAGAATTTTGTTAAAACTTCAATGGGCCCAATCTCGAAACAGTGTAAATTATTAACTTGGGCCAGCCCGACTTGCACTCTTTACCTTTTAAGCTTGGGAATTGGGATTGACCAGAATATCGGGCCTAGAAATGTTTTAGGCCCATGCCCAATCCATCTTCTATGCACATCAGTGCTTCAAAAAGGGGCACCCCACAACACATCCTAACCATATATCGGAAATATCTCATGACATGTCTCATCATCTTCCACACTTACCATCGAAAGATATTCCCGATACATGATTAGGATGTGCTGTGGGGTGCCCCCTTATGGGGCGCTGATGTGAACTCGCCTGAATCCAGGCCAGTCTTGAATAGAAAATCTAAGCCGTATGCCATACCCATAAATTTGTTGGCTGGAGAAGGCATTGTGGACTGAGCTATAAATGACCGAGTTAGATTATTTTCCAATTTGACTTTCCATTTTATTTATCAGTCTATTTTGCTTTTCTTAGGCAAATAAGTACTTATTTTGGGCCAAGACCACATCATTAAGCATTTGAAAATATTTTTAAGTACTTATTTCCTTTTTGGTTCTCGTCATTTTGAAAATATTTATATTATAACACGAAAGATGATGAGAATTTATTAAAACAATTACTTTCTTTTAATAAGTAATTATACTTATTTTTCAAATAATCAAATCCCCAACTCACTCCGCGTTAGTATCTAGTAGATAATCCGATGAGCATATAAATGAATAAAGTTTGTGAAATTATGAGTAAAGCTATTTTAGGTTAACTGCCAACAATCTAACATAGACACCAGTGTGTGTATCACATGGTTTGGCTTCCCCCTGTTGTTTGGCGCCGCGATCCATGGCTATCGCATCGTGGTGTTATCAGGCCATGGTTCAGGCGTACGCCCAGATACATGAAAGTGTATAGCCAAACAAGGCAAGCTTTTGCAAGCTTTACATCACAGCCACAAGTGGTGAAGTTGAACAAGTGTCCACATACATGAATGTAGGAAATTGAAGCCATTATCTTTTTCCGGCTTCCAGCCAGAGACCCTTTTCAGCATTGAGACTACCGATCAAATTATCTAGACAATCTCATGTGACCCCCACCCACTTGTGCTTTGTGTCTATTATTGCTAAAAGGTGCAATCTACCAACTAACGCTCTCCATCATAATGATCGATTCTGGTCCCTTTTTATTATTCTATACTAATAAGTAATGCCCTCCACATGCAAGGCACGTAATTGGCTTCTTAATTCCTAATTTTTTTCCTGAAAACCTAAACACTAAAGTCACATTAATTTACTGCAAATAGTGGCAGCAAGAGAGATGAGAGATTGAGAGTGGAGAAAGAGTATTTTTTTAGATGATTGTCTGTATGTGAAGCTATAGCAAATATCCACATTATATGTAGTAAGACAGTTATTTTGAGGGTGAAAGTGTAACAAAAGCTTATCATAAAAATAATGTATTTCATTTATTATTTTTTTAAAGGACAAAAATGTTGAAGAAATCAGTAATTTTCCTACTAAATTGGATGGGCAAAGTTGTCCATCTGAAATCAGAATGCAACCAATCGTCCCTTACTTTTTTTTTAAAGGCAATCAGATTCGTGGATCCAACACATGGGACTCAATCACATGGACTAGTTATTGAACAAAGAAACTATGATGGGGCAGACCATCTTAACTGCACTGGTAACTGGTAAGAGTACATGCAGATTAAGATTGCACATAAGATTAACTGTTGGACCGTTCACAATACAGATTGTGATCTTTTTTTTTTTTTTTTTTAATAATTAGTTTTCTAACCATTCCAGAAAATCATCTACCCAAATAGAAGCAAAGTAAACTACACAAGTTTTATAGACATATTTACATAGACTCTTCATTTTCATTTGGTTGCAAGTAACATGGCTGTGAAAAATAATCACTTTTTCAAAAAAAGGGTAGTAATTAATAATTATAGAAAAATATCATTCCCTCATTTTCCAAGTTAAGTGAAACACCAGAAAAACAAACACAACCTAAATGAAATATAGAAACCAAAACCAAAACTGTCATGCCAAAAACATAATTGCAAGAACTAATTAATGCTGTGTGTTTGGTTTGAAGTAAAAAGTAGGAAAACTTTTACAAGCCTTGTTTTGATTTCCCTTCCTTTCCCTACTTTTTCCTTCAAATCAAATATAGCCTAAGGCAAGAAGTAGCTAATGCACTCAAAGCTGGATCATTCAAAAAGTAGTTCATTACTTGCTAAGATTCAGACTATATAACCACATTTTACATCTTCAAACTTGCTTCTCGTTGCGGACCCTCGTCTTCATTTGCTATGCTAAAGATCCAATAAGATAGTAATTAAGAAAAGTAATACAAAGAAAACCCAAAGTTTTTTTTTTTTTGTTTTTTGCATCCATGATGGTGCCAACATCACAATTAATCTTTACCGATGTTTTCAACCCGCCATTGACCCGGCCGGTTGAACTGTTTAAACCGTTCAAACTGTCACTCAACTAGGATTCAGGGTCCAGTTCAGTTAAGACCCGTTAGACGGTAAAAATCCATTGATTTGGTTAATAACTGTTCGACCTGGCCGGTTCGCCCATTGACCCATTTGACCCGGTGATGGGCTGTGGGTTGCACACTCATTGCATACAAAACTTTTGGAGGCCATAGTAGGCACCTTGCCCTGCTATTTTCTAAAAAAAAACCCCTTTTTAGCCTCAAATTACATTTTTTAATATTTTTATAAATAAAAAAATTAAAAAACATAAACTAAATATAAAATAATACATATAACATATCTAAAACATATTTATACATTATTTATTGCTAAAATATATATTTATACATATATATAATGATGATCTGGCATGGTCTGAACCATTCAACCCGACTGGTCGAATCGATGGCCCACAATCCGAAGGCAAAAATGATTCGATCTCCAGGTTGGTTTTTAAAAGATTGAGCTTTTACTTCTTTAGCAATCCTCCCATAGGAGAATGCTAGTAGATGTTTCCATGTTTGAATTAGACTTTGATTCAAGGTTTTTTAAACCGACCCGGACAACAAACCGGTTAGGGTTCCAGTTCCCGAGTCGAAGTCGGTTTGTTCTGACAAAAAAAATTAAAAAAAAGGTCTAATCCGGATTTGGGAAAAAAACGGAACTGGTCACCTGACCAGTTCCCAAATTTTTCAATCCAACCATCCGGTCCGGTCCGATTTTGAAACTATGCCTTGATTTGATTTAGAAGGCCTGCACCTATTAAAGACTTCATTGCTTCTTAAAAGGTTGAATAAAATCAAAAGAGTAAGGAATGCCATTTCCAGATATAATTTCCTTTTTTTGTATTCAAATAATATTAATTTATTAATGAAACGGAATAATTTAAAATTTCCACTCATTGATCTTGAAATTAACTCCTCAAACACACTAGGAAGTTCACAGAAATAATTATATAAATTTCCTAAACCATGAGTAATTAAAGCCAAGTCAGCAAGTTCTAGGTACAATGAACATCAGTATTCCAACTTCACTAGGGCATAGGCAAGTAGGCAACAATTTGGCTCCAGCCAACACAAGCCTAAATAAAATCTTCAGAAATAATTCTCCTTTTATTTATAGAGAATACCCAGTAAGCATTTTAGTAAGAATATCCGTTATCTAGTAGAATACCGGCCTATTAATTTGTTCTCACATATGTAGGTAAAACAGAAATCTTCGGCATGAAAACAGCATATCCTTGAATTATGCCATTATGCTCATTTAACAAGATAAGATGGAACTCAGGGTCCATTTGATTCGCAGGTGGAATTGAATTATAATTGGAATCAGAATTCTCTAGAATCAGAATCAGAATGATCCATTCCCATTGATTCAGACAGAAATGAGAATTAAAATTAATAAAAATGGGATTTTATTTCTAAG